CTCCAAAAAGCTGTGCGCTTGTACCCTTTTACAAGGGGTGGTAAGTGGCGAGAGGAGAGATCTGCTCCATCAGCCACAACAGCATACTGAGCAGAAGGGGGCTGTTGCCCTGCACATGCTCTAGCTAGTGAGCAGTCCTGATCTTAGCAGACCAAACTTTCCCTCTTTCACAATGCCTTTAATAAAAAGGGTAATGGTATTAATATACTAACATTCTGTATGACCATGCCTTTTTTTCCACCCTTCTAATGATGTAGTAGAATATAAGATGCCATACTACTTGGTGTTTTATTACAAGAGATTACTCTGAGTAACTGGAAACCACTTGTGTTAATTATGCCACTCTCTCATGTGGAGCTACGCAGGAAGTGCACACGGCTTACACGCAGGAGTGGAAGCATTAATTGATACACTCTCTTGTGATAGGACTGAGTCTTGACATATCGGACATTGACGATGAAAGGAATGCACCTTGCCAAGGACAGCTGCCAAACACAACCATTTTCTAGTAGGTGTAAATTAGCACGCAACAGAAGATCCATGGCTTCCAGACCGTTAAGGTACTCCTGACCTGTTAATATCCTTCATATTATCTCACACTTGTTCTCTTTCTATCCCATTTCATGTCAGTGAGGTATGGGAAGCCACTGAGATTTGTTTATGTACAAGAAATGCAAGGTCAGGACCGTAACTGATTTACAGCATCTTTGGACACAGTACTCAGAGCTGCTCAGACGTGTGTAGGCTGAACAAGGTCAGCAAAATGAATTGACTTCTCCTGCTAGCTCAGAAAACTTGCTGCTTTCAAGCTCCCTCAGACTTTTACAAGAGCTAACTGCCAGCTTCTATTTGCAATGCGAGACTAAAAATATGCATTAAAATGTAATTAATTATTTACAGTCAGACATCTTGAAATATAACGAAAACCGTAGTTTGTATGTGTCGTCCCTTAAACAAGACAGAGGCCTCACCAGTTCTGCCACTCAATCCAATGCTGCTTTTTCTACCTGCTTCACATTTTTATCTTACATTTTCTTTCCTCCATTTCTCACCTTTTCAAAGTTAGTCCGAAAAAGAAATGATCATTACTTATGATAATTTCCCCATTTCTATATAGAGGATTTACGTGCACTTCTATCAAGTTCTATCCATGATATTATTAGATACAAATATTATTCATATTTCTACACCGAGTGCTAGAGCTTGTCTCAAATCCAGATAATATGTTTTTCTCAAAAAACGACTGTCAAAGAGTACCCTCTTATCCTCTTAAAGTCACTGTTCTACTGATGTTAATAAATGTCACACACAGCATACCTACTGAGAGCGGTCATTACGCACATACCAAGAAGTAATTTTACGTGCATTTCGTTTGCAGATGTTTCTACTGATGATTTGCAAGTCTGAAGACAAATAGCGGTCAGAACATCAACATTTTTGTACACAGAAAACAGTATTTTCACCTAAACATTTAACATCATTTTAATGAAAATTGGGACATTTAGTAGAAAAACCTTAATGACTAAATTTATATCATTAAAAATGGCATGAATATATTTTGATGAGGTTATATCTTTAAACAGGTATACTTTCTTCTTTGAAATCAATATTGAAAAACTATATTGTAATTGTAGCCATACAAAATGTTTATTATATTACAAATTATTTGTACACTATATTTTCACTTTATCATTGTTTGTGCTCAGACAGTATAAATATTACAGCATGATTTTTCTTTCCCAGGAATGTCCTTACTGTCTTGGTATAATCTTACTTTGTACTTAAAAAAAAAAAACCAGAAACATATTCCAAACAAGATAAAAAGCCATTATGAATGAAGAATGTAAAATGTCTTTGTGAATAAAGTGCACCACAATGGTTTTAGAGTGATGGTGGAAGGAATATTCAATACACTGCACATCGTCGATACAATACCAAACAAAATTAATTTTGAAAGTCTAACAGGTCTTCCTCAGTAATATGAAGAGTACTTTGTTTAACTTTACTGAAATGGTTTGTCTTTCTAGAAGGCTATTTAAACATTTTTATTGGGGTTTTTCTGTTTGTTCATTTTGTTTGCATGTAGGCATTCAAACCCTGTACATCTACATAATTTCCAAACGTTTTAATTTCCAGTATGGCAAGATATATGCTTGGCTTCATCCTCATACATTTTTCAATAGAACTACTAAATCACTTAAATTTAAGAATTGGTACAGATTTACAAGCAGAACTAAGTGTCCCAAAGATGCTGTTTAAATCTGGTACGTCCTACCTCCTGTGACTCTTTTGGGAATACATCGTAACATCACCCTTCCCTATATTTTTTTCAGTACTCCCATCCACGTGATTGCTGCTGCTTCCATACTTGCAGCTTTAGGATAACTCTGCAAAACTGGAGTCTAAGATACAGAAATTTATTTCACAGCACATTTCACTCCCGTTGTATAGAAGGGCCTATCCACTTGCAAAATTTCATTGGGCTAAATAGAGGAATCATTCAAAAACTGAGGTAATAAAGCTGATGCAAAATGTGGCTGGCACAATTTAGTGTGGATTTCACTTACCAAGTTAGCTAGCTTAAGCCAGTTATGAACCAGCTTAGGCTAAATAAAAGTAAGCCGCTCTTCAATTATGTCTGCACTTACATTACAGTGATTGAAATGACTGAAAAATAAGCAGAATATTGTTCAAGGGATTCTAGTGAAATGTGCACGTATAGACGAATCGTAATAGAGAAACTCAGCCTTGCTGTCAGCGAGTGAAGCTCCCACTGAAGCCAACCAGAACTAGTCTTTTTATGGCACGCTGAGTTTGGCGCAGTATTTTTGAGTTGTTATTTTCAAGTGTGATACTCTTAGGCAGCTATTAATTCAACACAAAAACACATTTGGATGTATTGTATTACACTGATAAGATCAGTATTAGTTAGCTGACAAGTAACTGAGACAGCAGTCTGTCTTTACTAGACTTATATTTATGTGAAAGATTGAGTTTCTTTGGTTGTTTAGTATCCAAGTCACCCAAATGTATATTTGTGTACTCCAGACATAACATGTTTATATTGATCATTAAAATTACTAGGGGTTTTGTTTGGGTTTTTTTGCACTTGGTTTATGGAAATTTTCTGGCTATAGCAGACTACTCACATATAAATATACAGCACATATATACATAGAAATTACAAAAATACATTTTATTTATATCTGAATTTTAAATAATAAAAATGAGATTTCACATTTGTTGAAAGATTAGCTAGCATTCCAAAAGCTTCTGCAATATTTAAGGTATTGGAGCAGAAGATATCTGTATATTCTAGGATAACTATGTATCACAATCTCAGTCAGGGTTTATAATATAATTATTTGGGGAAAAAATAGCTCTGCTTTAAAAGTTTGTGCTTCATCAATTTCTTCTTCTATCCCCTGTTCTAGTCGTCTCTCTCCTTCTCCTCTCATTTTACTGATGGTCAAAAAGCTAAACCAAGTTCCCTTTCTCACCTCAGTAAAGACCAAAGAAACTCAGGGAAATGAAATGATCAGACAAAATAGCATAAGCAAATGAAGATAACTAAATAACTTACTGAAACGAAGGACATTACCTTTAACTCCAGTTGACGTCAAGCATGCCCAACAACGTATTTTGCAACAACTTCAGTTCCCAAAGCTAATTGCTGAAGGAACTGAGAACAATTGTTCATGACCTCCAACTGTTTTTTACAACTGCAAAAGATGAACTATTGCCCCATTCAACTGGTTTGATTTTCTTTTGGGATTGGATTCATACAACAATGCAGTTTAACAATTAGTGACCTTTATCTTGCACAATATAAAGTCAGCATAATTTCTGGAAATGGTCTCTTTTTCACAGAACATTAGTATTTTTGTTAAACCATGTAACTGTTTACTTATTCACATGTTAATATGATAATCAGATCCTCTACATTCAGAACTGCCTAGGTGTGCATTCACTACTCCAGCGTAATCAAAATCAACTGCAGCTTCAGGTAGCACTTTCTGGCATCACTTTAGTAGATATCATTGTTTAAGAAAGAGAAGAAAGCACTGTGTTACAGAGGTTTTCTTGTCCAAGCGGGTGTATTCATTACTCCAGATTGGAAAGACTTGCTCAAAGGTCTCGGGTTTACCAGCTTCACATGCAGTCAGAGTGAAAAGCCTGAATATAGAGCAAATGCGAATAACCTTTTTTCATTTCTCCTGGAAGCTTCTAGCACCAACATCCTTTGTTGGCTCTTCGTGTATTGTATTCTCTCACGCTGAAAAAAATCTCCATAACTCATCAGTGGCATTCAGGGACAAGGTAGCCACCGATTATCAAAATATCATTAACCTTCTTCACAGTCTTCTCTTCTTTCACTTCTTTGTACTGTTAATAGGATGAGGAGAATTGGGGCTATTTACAGGACATTTATTTGTATTACTTACTCATCTCAAATTCTTTTGGTTTGAATACGGTCTCTAGAATGAAAAGGCTGAATGACTCCGCATTGCTGAAATCAGCATCCCTTATATGTCCTGCAGCAAACAATTAACATGGCCACGGCCACGCCTACTGTGGCCTTTAGCTAACCGTGTTCTACTGTATTTTCTTCTTTAATCAAAGTTTTGACATGCAGAAGTTATTTTCAGCAGCTCTACCTTTGGGCCTGCAAATGAAACATCGTGTGGGGCAGACATGTTCAGCAGCATCTCTAGTGATGATGGGTCATAATACGAGAGCTAAGTGACAAACAATTGCGTATGATCAATCTTATCTGTATTAAACAGTTACCTGGCAGCATTTCCTTAGCTGGCAAGCAGAATTACACATCTTCAGAGTCCTGTTGCTCTGCTTTAAGTCATTTCATAGTTTGACTTTTCAGGCAGAGAAAAATGCCATCACTTTGGCACAATTCACAGCAAGTTTGTAACTGAAAATTGAAGGAGTCGCTTTCTTGGCTACCCCAGGTTGCATGATACAAGTACTGTGCACAAAAGATATTAGACCTGGAACTCAAACATATCTGTTTGCTTCTTGGCCAGTTTAGCAACTTCTTCTCTTATTGCCTTTACGAGGGCAGCTGTAGAAATGTTGGTGAGAGGAGCATCGGATGGGTCATTTTCTGTCAGGCTCTGCTGAGAAGCTGCAGTGGACGGCAAAGGAGCTTGTTCCAGGCTGGGATGCATGCTTGCTTGCTGGCTGTATTGGCGAGGAAGTCGCGAAGGAGAATTATGTTGATAGCGGGGCCTCGGATAAGCCTCGATGTATCCAGGTAGTGGAACCTGTAGAGCATGGTAATTACACAAAATTATACAGAACAGTTGATCCATAGTGCCACCTGCCAGGTAACACAAACCTCCCCGGGGCAGAATAAGATGTAACAGATAGGACCACATGAAGAGAACGTAAACCTCATACTCCTAAGCGTCTATTTACAAATGTCTATCTTGGCATGTGCCATTTATGCACATACATCAATGTACCGGGTACTCAACTCCCCAGACTGTGGCAGCAAAAACACCTAGCGGGGGAAACATCGCATGTCCTAATTTACCATCACTACGAAAAGTCAAAGGGAGAAGGCTTTTCTGAGTGTGTTCTCTGCTTACTATTCCTCCTAAACATTTCAGTTTTAAACAGACAGCACCACTACATTTCAGGACACCGAAAAGCCTAGAACAGAAAAGTAGAGTTTCCTGATTTGCAGCCGCTATCTAAGCCAAGTCAGCCAAGTCTCTGGACTTACTGTTCCTAACAAAAACTCAATAGATGCAGACAACGGGGATAAGCTCAGGTATGCCAACCTGGAAACTCAACACTGAAAAGGAGGTTTGACTTCTCAGAAGTATCAGGTCTTCTGGCCACATTTAACAGAATTACATGGGAGATTCACAATTTTACTCTGTTGTAACTTCACCGATTTCAGCCCCACGTTACACTGGCTAAAACTAAAATAATAACATAGGCCCTTGAGATAACATACCCCCTTGAGATATTAAATTTCCTTCATAAATCCATGAACCATGATACCAGTCTTCATAGTCCTCGGAAGTTTTTAATGCATCAAATAATAATAGTATTTATTTATGTTTTGCAAAAGTCTATAAATCGGGAACCTACAGCCCTTCATTTTGAAGAAGGCTTTATGTTGTTACAGAAGGCAACCCATAACCTATTACTAGGACAAGATAATTTCTCCTTGAGAAAAAGCTTACCAGCTGATCATTCTAGTCCATGCCAATGACAAGTAAGTAAGGAAAGTTCAGTGATGCTTTTTTATGAACTGAGTGACTTGGAAAACTACGCTTACCTACACTATACTCAGAATACTACACTTATAAGGTTCCACAATGTTTAATCACTAAAAAGTTAACTTTGTAATTCTTTTTGCTATAAATGGGAAAAACACAAGTTTTTGACTTTCCAAATACATTAAGGTCTTATATAAGCATATAATACAGGCGGCCAGGCAGATGTCTCAGCTAATTTTCGGATTTCAGTCAGGCTGAGGTGTAAGGTGCTTCACCCACCAGGGCTAAGGCGTTGGTGGGTATGCCAGAAGCAGTATTTCAGAATTTTAGCAGTCTGCAAGCAGACTGAAATGTCAAGATGTGAAACGTCTGCCAATTTTATATACCTTCTGGGGAACATGGGTCCTCAGCATGGACTTCAGAATGACAGCTTTGCTTAAATCCCATTTTGGCTCTGGCCCTGTGAGAGTTTAACAGCCCCTTGGGTGCTTTTGAAACTCTTGCCACTTCAGGCATCTAAGAACCTATGAAAACTTGACCACTAGGATTTACACATGCTCTATACGATCTTGGATAGCCATCAAGCGATGAAGAGAATGTCAAACACATTCAGTATAGTGTGATGAGACAAACGTAGGAAGCAGGCATGATATGAAAGTGATCATTAAATGCAGCTGCCTCTGTTTAGTTTACAACAGATTATTAAAGACATTTTAGTAGTACAATGTGTGAACACGCCACTAGAGGCCACCAGGTTACTACTTTCACTAAGCAGCATCTGGCAGTTTGGAAAATAAATGCTTTGTCGGATACAGTTCCCTTCTCCCACAAAATTTAGTGCTTCAATACTTACCTTTTAACTGAGAAAATAGTACATTACAGTAAATTGAGCTTATAAGATAATTCTTTGTTGTCAAATCTCCCGTTTCCTATGCCCCCTTGTTTACAGTCCAGCTAGTAGAAATGCATGAAAAGTAAAGAATTTCAATTTTCACCTTGCAGATATTAAGCCTCTGTTCTTACTAATTGTCAAAACCTTGGAAGCATGATCAAGCTACAATCTAGAGGCTCAGAAACCAGAAAGCATCCAGAAACTCAAACTCTGAGTATTACTTTAGGTCTTTATATTTTGCAGTTTTATTCAGGCTTTCTGACTGTATTACGTTGCTAACACTATTACTAGTTCCTCTAGTAATGATTTTCAAATAAAGACAATTTCTTGACAGATTTGCAGTCGTTGGGAGGTGCAAATTCATTGTAGAAACTGAAGTGGTTTGGGTTTACATTTTTTCCTCTTCTCCTGCAAAGTCACAGGAGGGCTGAAAGTCTGAGTAACAAGAAGTTGTTAAAGCTCTGTAGTGGGTATGTGAAGTTAAAAGGAAAATTCGTTTCCTCTGAATTCTATATTGCCACAGTTATTTCTCAGACAGCTTCTTGCATCCCTCTCCATTCCCCTGTGTATGGTCCACCGGCACTAACTGCTCTTCCCACCTCTTTCCCTGAAGACAGGGAAACCCACAACAGGGTTACATTCTTCTCCTTCCAGAGGAAGGAACTGGGGGCTGGAGATTTGCATTCCCGTTTTGTCCAGTTTGTTTTCAGTGTCCCCTTTTGACAAGTGATATCTGACTCTCTTCATGGGACTGCAGCCAAGGAGTAGGGATACAAAAGGGAGAAAGAATGGAAGACAAGTAAAGTACTTTTCCTGTTTTGTTTTGGGTTTTTTTTCTTTTTAAAGAAAAAGTTTAAAGTTGCTCAGATGCAACGGGCCTCCTGGATTTAAAGTGTCAGTAGGGTTAAAGACAACCAAAAAAAAACCCCACAAATAAATAAAACAATGAAAAGAAAAAGGGTTTCCATACTTTAAAGGGCAGCTCTGGGAAGGGAATCTGTACGACGGCATCAAAAGCCTCCAGGTGGCAGGGGCACATCAGCAGATGTGCTCAGCTTACGGATGAACGTACTTTTTCTTGACAGTTTAGCCTACAAATCCAGACTTGCATCTCACAGTCAAACTGAATTATTTTCCTCACAGGCATCAGAAGCAGTAATAAAGATTTGGCAACAAATAGCTGACCCCAGGAATATTTATATGACCGTGTTGTCTCTTGCTTAGCTGCTCAAAGTCAACTATTAGACTCCAACTGCAATTCACTAAAATATTCTGTTGATCATATGCACAAGGAAATAGAATCCATCTCCCAGTTTGTTTAGCTGAATTGGTTCTGCATAAATACCAGATGTGAGCTCAAGCAGCAGAACTGATCTTTTTTTTTCCCTAGTGGAAAAAAAGCCCTAATTTTTAGAAATTGTTTCAAACATGATAAACTACTGCAATTCATTTTAGGATGTCTCAACTTTATTTCTTTGAAGTGTAGGTATACTTTGGGCTAAAAATTACATCTGTCCCAGACTAGGATTGCGCAATTAATTATTTAATTTATGATCTGTCACTGCAGCCTGCAGGAGGACTTGAAACACTGTGAAGCAGGGCTGCGGCAGAGCCGGGCGCTAGGATTTGGGAGCTCGGCTGTCTTGAGAGAAGCCTCCAGGAGGGAAAGATGCTCCCCAGCTTCCAAACAGCACAAGGCCACCTTGAGAGGCAGCATCACCTACTCCTGCCATGTGCCTATCCAAATATTTAACCTCTGTCTTGGGAAAGAAAAATGGTACCTAACCCACCAACTTTGAATAGGTGCCAGCCCCTAGCCTAGTGAATGATTTAACTCTCTAAAAGACCTTACTTACAGTTCATGGGATGGACAGCTAAAGTAGCTATGCCCTCTGTCATTACTTGTCACTACTAGAGATTATTACCATTCAAGGAAGAATTATCTTGCTCAGATTCTTTGCTGATCACTTAGCATTGCTTAAAACCCCTCCTTTGCAAGTCACAGAAAATATATGTAGTTAGAAGAGCAAGGATGCTTACTGAGTCTGCCCACTGCCCTGGTAATTCATTCTCTCCGGCATAGGGCATCCAGGCTTGGTTCCTGTATGCCGTGGGTGGTGTTGGGATAAAATAGCCTGTGAAGCCAGGTCGGTTTGCTGCTGGTATGGCAAACACTGCTGGTACGGTATTACCTATTAAGAAAGAGAGTAGATATAATTAATAGCTGACATTTTCAGTTATAAATTAGAGATAATGCTTATGAAGTAGCTGGCCTCAGTCTTTGTTTTGTTTTGTTTTGTTTTTATTGGTGAGAATGTGATCACCATCGGTTGGATGTAAGGCTCCCACCATCTGACTAGAACATCCCTATAATGCTGGGAAGTACTGAGGAAGGCAAGATTTGCGGTTGTCTATGTAATTGTCATACAATCTTTCAGGTAGGGTTTATTCCTGGGGCTCAGAGATGCATGGAACAATGTGGTTCTTGCTGCAATTACTCAGATTATCCACAGGATATAACTAGGCTGTCTGGAAGACCAGCATCTTATCACGTGCTCCCACTATTTACCTTGAGAGAAGCCATCATAACTCCATGTATTTGCCAAGTTTAGAATAAAATACAAACAACTTGCTACACTATGGTCATAAAATCCTCATTCCTAAATCCTGAGTGGGAAAGCTCTGCATCATCTTTATCAGGTAGTAAATAAAGCATGTAGACGGTGTGCTTTGAGTACTCAGTTATAATACATGAACATGTATTTTACTTTTCAGATTCACAGAATATAGCAAGAATAACATCATTTATGTGAAAGCAGAAGAGCCAGTAAACCCCATAAGAACACAATAAAGTACAATTCCTTTTCACTGAGGAATGGAAGTACAGTAACACTGCATAGATGGGCACTGGCTCTGTACTAGAGTCAATGCAGAGAAAATACAATTCCTCTCCTCTCCAACTGCACGTTATTTGAATATTGCCATATCGCCAATAATTGCCCTCAGTAGGTATGATACCACTGTGTAAGAGGTGCCGACAAAATGGCAAGACATGGGCGTTCCCCCAACCTCAAACAGAGAATAATTGATAGCAATTAGCATCACTTACTGGGTGCTTCAAATATCTGCCCCCCAGAATGTAATTTACAGCCCTGGCACATCCTTGCTTCTGAACACTCTGCAAGAGGGTTATGCTGCCTACTCTGATAGATACTGGGAACACTGCATGGGCTCATACATAGAGATAGAAAGACTCGAACAGTGACACCCATCCCCAAAGCAGTCTCCCGAAAACCAGCAATTTATAGGTTCTCAGCGACCTCCCATGCAGTCCTAGGCCAGAAGGGCTATGGATGCAACCAGGGTGTGCAAAGAGGAGAAAAATATATTTTGTAGCATAATTGTCTCCAGAGCAGAAACATACCATCTGTTTCAACACTGACTCAAAAAAAAAAAAAAAAAAGAAATCAGAAAAAAATTGGAAGAAAAATGAGTGATCTGTCATCCAAAATATGGACTAAAAACTCTTTACAGTTATACAATGTTTTCTACTGTTAGTCATCCAAAATGGACTAAAAACTCTTTACAGTTATACAATGTTTTCTACTGTTAGGGACTAAGTCCTAGAGCTCATTTTGACATCGGGTTGTAGGTGAAAAGGCACTATGTCAGGGAGGATGCTGGAGTCACCCAGCCCTCGGAGATGCAGTTACTGTGGAAATGCTAAAATTGGAAGAAAAATGAGTGATCTGTCATCCAAAATATGGACTAAAAACTCTTTACAGTTATACAATGTTTTCTACTGTTAGGGACTAAGTCCTAGCTTTCATTTTGACATCGGGTTGTAGGTGAAAAGGCACTATGTCAGGGAGGATGCTGGAGTCACCCAGCCCTCGGAGATGCAGTTACTGTGGAAATGCTATGGAGCAGTGGGATCTACGATGTATGTCTGCACGGCAGGTAGCCACAGGGTATCTCACAGGACCTCTATCTCAGTTCCTCCAGCCCCTTGGTTTGCAAGGAGGTGGGCTAAGAGAAGAGGTGTGGGTGATCTTTGTTCTTCCCACGTCACAGACAGCACAAGGGTTGCTAATTTAAATGAGTTAGCAAGGCTGGAAATAAGTATTCTTCAGGCATGTACAGAGAAGAAAGTGCTGCTCCTGTAGATGACACATGGCTTCTACATCAAAATGCTCTTTTAATTTAACCACAGCAAAATGAGCTACTATTCAAAATGAACACTCAATTAGCTGATGTAATACCTTACCCCAATTCTTACTGCAACATCGTTATCTTAAAGGTGATGTTGATGGGCTGCGTGAGCCAACATTACACTGTTTCATGCCAAATCAGCACCTGCAGCAATGTTTCTTTATCTATTGAGGCAATAAAAATTTATTTTCCTATCAGAACTTTAGAAATCCTTGTTTGTATCACAGCTGCAGGTTTCTCACAACTCTCCTTGTCTTTCCCTGTATTATAGCCATTTGTAGCATCTATCATATATGAAAGTTTCCTCCAGCTACCCCCAGAATAATTCTGGCAAGCTCCACAACGTACACATGTCACTTTGTCTCTTCTGAAATGCAGCCTCTCTTCAGTGATAAGGCAATATACCTGTTTTTAACATATGGCAATAAAATCTCCACGTCACTAGAAATTATAAAAAAGTGTATCACACAGAACACATTGCTGCAGACATGAAGAAAGAGCTCTTGGTAACGTGGCATATTTTATAGCTTGAAATGCTTTAAAATGAAAGGGTGAGCATCTGCTTTTTTCAGATTCACATGCACCGTTTGAGGAAAGTATGACAAGAAGTGAGAGTAGAATGGATCTGTCAAACCTACTATATTTAATTAATTGTCAACAGATTTGCATATCCACATTATTATTCTCAGTAGAAGATGTTGAATACAACGCAGATAACTATTACTTCTGAGGAAGCTAAGAAAGAATTTTTTCTGGCAGATTAACAGAGCAATCTCTTATAAACCTACTAATTTCCAAACTTTGAACTGACAATGTAAATTTTTTTTAATCTTGTAAGCTCTTTTCTATAGCTCTTCAAGAAAACTTTTTGCCAATGAGAAGGTATTTCAAATATTTTCCCAGCTAAATGTTATCCAGATACCATCAAAACAGTGTATCATCTTAATCTCATTATTAAATCCATTCATTCATAAATAAAATTCATATCAAAAGGGCCAGAAACTCACTAGGCCTTTAAAACTGGGACATTTAGACCCAAATCAAGTCCTGCACTTGAGCAGGAAATACCTTCTCCAAAATAGGAGGGGAGACAAGCTAACGGATTACTTTTGACTATCGAAAAGCACTGCTGCCTTATGTTTTGAGGGGAAGGGGGAATATACCTTCAATTTACCCGCCTCAGCAGCCCACTGTTGTGACAAGACTAGGGGTTAAGTTTCTCAAGATGAAATAGGGAGTCATAAAACTCATCCAACAGTCAGGCTGGAAAACCTCAGCCTCACACATGCTATTTTTCATGTCCACTTGTTTTTCCTCCCTTTCCTTACAAACCAAGCAGAGCTGAATGCCATTAAGCCTCCTTCTGCAGTTCTACTTACAGCTCCATTGTACATACTCTGTTTTCAAGCACTTGGCCTGGTATTCTTGACTGATAAAATTATGGAAGGATCCACCTCATTTCTCCATGTCCCTCAGAACCCTGTTACCTGTCTCTCCCGCTTTGGTTGTTTTTGTACAGGGTGCAACACAACACGCGAGTCACACAGCAGTCCCAATACTGCAACTTCTGCTTTTGCCAGCCAACACCCTCTGTACTAGCCCTAAAAATTCCACTGAATTTTGTGGTACAGATGAACTGTTTTACCAGGCTTTAATAATTCAGAGTCCTTATCAGTGAGGCAGCAGAATGCCATACTTGAACAAAGACCATCTGGTACATTACTGCTGGATCTTACCTTCAGAAATGACCATTTCCTGGTGCTTCTGCAGGATGAGTAGTATTTTACAATGCAGCTGATGCTGCATTTACAAAGGAGCAACCCTTATAGGTCTCCTTCAGTTGCACCAGAAAAAAAACACCTAATACAGTCTTTCTCCAAATAATCATCTGTATTTGCTATATCCCATACGTTCATTTATAGGCAAAATAAATTGTGAGGTGCTCAAAGCTGCAAGTTGGGTCTGCACTATTTTTTCACCTGAGTGAAAAGCTGATTGATCAAGTGGACCAACAGACATTGGAGCTCTCGAACCAGGTGCAAAAGATGCCTGATCATGATGCTGGGCCTGATCTGCCCCACTGGAGTCAGGTATTCTCACTTTGCTGCCAATATCTGATGTAGACCTGTGCATTAAGAAAGTAAAAAATAGAAACTTTTATCATTCTGACTGACAAGTGAGATTCATAGTCACATACCTGCCTATCAACTACAGTATGACAAGCCAGCTAGAAATGAGCTATCTGATTTTGCTCTGGCATGAGAAAAGTTTGAAGAGCAACTGGAGAACGGTAAGTTTGGAGAAGTCTGAGACAACTTCTTTAGCCTGGTCGCTACTTTGCCAAAGCATGTTATTTTCATTGCATAGAGCATGTGCTTGCTGCTTCAAACAAATGTCTGTGACATGCAACACAAAAAACAGAGCTTTACCATAGTTCATCAACACAAAACTATAGACAATACCATATGACTACAGCATATATGACATGGTATCATATAGTAGGAGACTACTATGGTAAGTAACATTAACTGCACTTGGGAAGTACTAACATCTTTTGAAATGGTGTGTCCCAGTTCCTTTAGAGCTAAAATGTGATAGATGAACAAGAGTATGTCAACAGTGTCCATATCCTGAATATTTGGACGCAGTTACGATATCATTAGCAACCACTCAGAAAAGTTTCCTTTGGCCTCGGTGCTCCACAGCAACTCTCAGCAGGCCTGTGGTGCCTTGAATTGCAGTTGGCACCAGGCAGTACCTAACAGCACAGCACTGAAGGCTAAATGAGTTCATCCGCCACAGAAGTGTAAAAATTCCTTGAAATGCATTTTATAGAGTGCCTTACTGAGAGGAGGAGGCAAAATGTATACACTGAGCTAAGGCAGTCAGGCTTTTGCACGTATTTGGCTTCAGAAACGCAGGTATGAGATATCTGAAAGCTAGGCAGAAATCCCCGGACCCGAGGTACTGAGAAACATCTCACAATTGATCCATACCCTGTTGCAAGTCCTTGCAATAGGGAAAAGCAGGGAGAACGACAGGGCAAATTATCTACCACATATCTGCAATACAATATGCCGTTATGCGAGTTGAGGCAAAGCACATTTTAAAAGCAGTCGGAGCCTGCATCTCCTAATTTTATTGAAACTGATTAGCTAGTAGAAGAGAAAATTCATTGTTATTCCTTCCTCTTCATGTTAAAATGAAATAAAACCAACATGTTTCTAATTTCATGAATGTGTCTTTATAAGTGCCTTGTAAGTGGCTTGTAAGTGCCCCTTCAGGGTTTGCCCCAGTTCTTATTACAACAGTGGTTTTTAAAGATCATACCTAAAATAAAACAACAGATAAATACCTCCTGAGAGAGGCAACAGCCACAGGACCTGTTCTGGGAGGGACAGGAGGAGGAGGAGAACCCATTACCATCTCAGGAAGCTGGGAAAATCTGTAAGCCTGTAAAGGAGAAAAATAAATATTTTCTGAAACACCAATAGATCTCAGTCAAATTAAAAACCAAAAGAAAGTCAGAAATTAAATACCTGCTTCGTGTGCCGGCCAACAGGAAGTTAACTTTTTGTGGCATCAACAGTAATTGCCTTTTATTTGAGAATTTACAGTGCTTGGGTGATTTTAGGATGTGGAAGAAAACATGAACAAATGAGTTCAGAGCCAAAATGAAGTCTAATTAAAATAAAATGTATTAAACACTGTCTCTGTGACGTGTAACCTTGCTGGCAAAGCAGATCTGTAATGATTATGTGAGACTCAACAGCTGCTTTGGACCCAGAGGAAAAAGATCTCAGTATTTCCACTTCCTCCAGAAACAAAGTATTTTAAAGATTCAGAAAGCATCCTCAGAGCAGCATCTAGTGAAGTGAAGCTGCCTGTGAGCAATGCATATTTCAACCTCTTCCTTTCAGCCTTGAAGAGATGAAAAGAAAATTCTTCACAAAAACCCCAAGCTCTGTAATTTTCTAAAGCAATAACAAAGGTCTCAAACAGTTCTGAAAAAGCAGAGTAATTCAGAGGAACACAGGACCAACCCGCTAAGTCACAAAATTAAGCATCTTGCCCATAGTAATTCTGGATTTCATCACTAATACATGTGAAGGACGAGTAATCGTGTGCATGAAACCCACGTCACCCAAGAAATGATATGTAGGACAAAATTTCTGTTCTAAATTCTTTGTACTACTATAAATTGGCGGGAGTCCAATTTCCTGGACTCAGGAAAAAAAGGAGAGTTTATCGCTTGTGGAAGAAGGGGCAGGCAACTCAAGAAGAGTACAGGGATCTCGTTAGGTCATGCAGAGAGGAAATGAGAAAGGCAAAAGCCCAGCTAGAACGCAATCTGGCTGCTGTCGTTAAAGACAACAAAAAAAGTTTTTACAAATATATTAATGACAAGAAGAGAGTGAAGGAGAATCTCCATCCTTTATTGGATGCGGGGGGGAACATTGTCACCGAGGATGAGGAAAAGGCT